GACATACATTACGCAAATCGTCAAACTGCATCACGAGACAAGCCCTAACTTGGGATCTCGAAGGGAAGCGAAAAAGAGGAAGGCCAAAGAACACATTGCGTCGGATAATAGAAGCAGATACGGAAAGGATGAATAACAACTGGACGGAGCTAGAAAGGATTGCCCAGGACAGGGTTGGATGGAGAATGCTGGTGAGCGGCCTATGCTCCTTCACGAGGAGTAACAGGCGTAAGTAAGTAAGTAACTTGTTAACAAATTTCACAGTATTTGTTGATGTAATTGATGCTTCCAGAAACAACTGATTCCATATCATGTACTGTCTGTGTGCAGTCTGTGATGCTAACACTGAGCTATTCGAACTAGAACTGACCATATGTATGACTTGAATTTTTATGTTGATCAATCACTGAATACTGAATAAATGTCACATTTATGAAGTCCTTTTAAGGCTAATCGAATTATATCAATGAAATTACATTAGGATCACTCGCCTAATTGATTCAAAATAACTTGTACCAAGCTTATTGATTGACCGATTTAAAGTTTAATACAAACTCGAATAATCTTATCCATTATAGGCTAACAACTGGTAACAATCTTCACTTGGATACAAGTTATTAAGTGATAATTCACTAGATCATTTTTAAGAAAAACTCATTTTTAGTATCAGAAGGGGTTTTGTGGATATTATAGTAATTTCATTAGTTGAGATCATGAGTCAATTGAAGTTAGGTCACCAAGGAAAACCTGGGAACAATAGACGAACGTTTTATCATAGCATGAGACTCCTCAGTAGTGTGCATCCACGACCCCACCTTGCGAGATTCGAACCCAGGACCTATCATTCTCGCGCGCAAACGCTTAAACTCTAGACCACTGAGCTTGACGGTATCCAACGGTGTTAATTTCTAACTTCAACCAATCCACGAAATCGATTTGCCGTCTACCATTGTCTTTAGCAAGTAACTGACTCACAACAGACCCGGTTGAACTCCACTGGTCACTACTCCTCACTAGAACTCCAGGAAATACCTTATGAAGCCAGTCACTAGTGAGCGTATGTTGATTAGTATCAGAAGGGGTTTTGTGGAGATTTTAGAAGTTTCACTGATTGAAATCATGAGTCAATTGAAGCTAGACCACCATGGAAAACCTGGATGCACTGTACGACCGTTTCATTTTTATTGTATTAGTTACTGAGTTAAAAACTCATTTTATACTGTTTTTTTATTAAAACAATTATGTTGACACTGATCAAGTGATAAAGAAGAAAAAACAGCTGAAAAATATCAAACTTTTGCAGGGCTAAATGAAATTCATCCATTAGTCAAACGTTTAATGGTTTACCATTAAATTTCCAGCCAAATATCTTTTTTGGTATATTCTATAAATATATAATTATTCTGTGACCAAGTCATAAATATAGACTTTTTTTATACCATAAATCAATTCGTCATTCAAAAGTAATCAGAGGTGAATAAGTTTTTTTATCAGTATAGGGGTTGTAAAGATTGTTAAGTTTTTGATTGAGATCATGAATCAATTGATGTTAGACCACCGTTGAAAACCTGGAAGCACTGGACGGCCGTTTCGTCCTAGCATGGGACTCTTCAGCAGTGCGCATCCACGATCCCGCTCCATGAGAGATTCGAACCCAGGACCTATCGGTCTCGCGCCAGGCGCTTAACCAACTAAACACTAACACCATTGGATGCCGGCTCAGTGGTCTATTTGGTTAAGCGCCTGGCGCGAGACCGATAGGTCCTGGGTTCGAATCTCTCATGGAGCGGGATCGTGGATGCGCACTGCTGAAGAGTCCCATGCTAGGACGAAACGGCCGTCCAGTGCTTCCAGGTTTCCAACGGTGGTCTAACATCAATTGATTCATGATCTCAATCAAAAAAAGTTTTTTTTGTTTATGTGTGTGCATATTTTAGGGTTCAAGACTGATTTATTTATTATCTTCCATTTAGAAACTTCAATTAATCTGTTATACACCTTGATCCCCATTCAAAATATTATGAACAAATTATTATTTTGCGTATCAAAGTTTCAGTTTGAAATTCATTACAGAACTAATCAACAGTTGATTATAAGATCTATGCGCACTGTTGAGCAGTTTCACAATAGGATGAAATGGTCGTTCAGTGATTTCAGGTTTTCCATGGTGGTCTAGCTTCAATTAACTCATGATTTCAACTATTAAAATTATAAGATTATAGTTGATTGGTGTGGTGGTTTTATACGAGTATCAGTTGGAGAAAAATTCATTGTTAAATGTGATTAAAATGTCCTTTAAATTTATACAGTTACCCAAGACTTAGTGTGATTTAAATATCTTCGATATAAAAATTCGAATATCCTAGTTCGAATAATAATTGTGCGGTTAAAACCTGAACCTGAACAGGTAGACATTGATATTGAAGTTAGTCAGTCGGTCATAAATAACGTATAACCTGACACCGACTCTAAACCATGTTATCCAATGTCTATAACCACTGGAAAAGATAACTGAGTGGATGTAAACCCGGTAGCTCTTATCCATTTGCATAGCTTAGTTTAACAGTTAGTGATGTTATGGATTGATGCCACGTGTTCGTTTACCCTTCATTTAATTATTCTGTAACCTATTCCTACATCAATAAACATCGCCCAACCAATTCAGTCGACTAAGTCAGTCAGTCAGTTGCAACGTTGAACCAGGTATGTATGTACACCAGATCAAGTTGTTATATCCCATTAGCACAGAGAGACGAAATTATCAGATCAAATCCCAGAGAAGTAGAGGTAATCACAATACTATCGGTAATAGAAACGATCAGTCATCCAAGATATGATTCAAGAAAATACAAACTAGCGGAAAAAAATTAAGAGAGATTCAGAAGCTTAAAATTTAGAGGAAGACAAAAATTAATAATCCTGCTCTACTGAGACTAATTCTGAGACAAGTCATTCAAAGTTGCGATAATCACACGGACCTCAGTCAGGTAGTCTACACCTGAGTACATGGGTCATTTCGATAGTAATGACTTCATGAACTGATCCCATATTCTAGCCAAACCCTACACCAGCCAACATCACCCATCAATGTAGGCGATGGTTAGGCATACGTGACACGTGTCCCAAACACCTAAGTTGATAAAGATTTACTATCTTTTCAATTAATTTGGTATCCTTATCCAGCAACCTTCCCTAAAATTGCTTACTCAGTGGTCCCAAAATACACGAGCAATGTGTTCGAAGACACCTATGGTCGAATACTAGTAGCCTGTAAATGTCCTCTATTCTTAATGACCATGATTCACATCCACAAAGTAGAACGAAGAGAACTTCTCTGCAGTAAACTCGCCATTTGATTGGCAGACGGATATCTCGCCTAAGTCACAAATGATGCAACTTGGCAAAAGCCAACTGAGTCTTCCGAATCCATGACGAGATTTTGTCAGACACCAGACCATCAATAGTGATGGCGCTCCCAAGACAAGTGAAGCGGTCGATGCGTTCAACTACTTTACTCACTATCACTAAATCGGCCAACGACACAACCCAATCCAGAAGTAGCATTTTGCATTTGGAGGGAGAGAACTACATCCCAAATACGCTTGCATTGTTGCCTAAGTTGGTCAACAGACCCTGCATATTATCAGAGTCTTCAACAAAAATAACTACATCATATCTGTACTCTAAGTCGACAAGTGAATCTCCAGGAAGGTCAAGCCATAAAAAGACAGACGACGAAGGTTTTATCTTTAAACGAATGTCTATGGGGAAAGTAGAAAACCCTGACGAACACCACTTGAAGTAACCAATTCCGATGACAGTTCTTCATAAGTTTTGAGTCAACCAGTAGTATTCGAGTAGATGTCGATGTACTTCTTTGAAATGCCTTTTAGCGACAGACACTGCCACTGTAATCCACGATCAACGGAGTCAAAAGCCATCTCAATGTCATGGAATACAACTGTAGTCGGACGTTGAAAAGTGTGTCTCTGTTCCAGAAATTGCCAGATGGTGAATATTTGGTTTATACATCCAAGTGCAGCTCTGAAACCAATCTGACTTCCTTAGGTTCACTCTTCACGTCGAAGTATTACTGAGGCTAATACTTGAGACACTATATTGGTTAAACGGATTCGTCTGTGAGTGTCACAAGAGAACTTTTATCCTTCCTTATTAACTAGGACGATCAGCAATCGAGACCCGTCAGATGAAATTAGGTCCAGTTCCCAGATTCCAGCTAAGATCGCAGTCAATCTAACTTCTAAAACTGGGCCATCATCCCTAAAATCTCAAGGGTTAGTTCATCGGGCCCTGATGCTCTCCCTCACTTTAGAATGCCTATAGTCATTTCAACCCCACCAAGAGTTGGAGGATTTATATCAATTCTCCATTCAGATTGCTTGAAGATTGTGAGAAAATGAGGTGAGGAGTTGGACTATCCCCTAAAACGTTCAGTCAGTCGATCCAATATCATGATCCCAACCATGATTCACTACTGTATCAGTAAATTTACCATTCTTATTACTATGATTCTAAGATCAGAGTTATTCACTCAGTATTCCTAATATACCCCAGAAACATTTCAAAGATACCCATAATTTACTACAAAAAATCTACAAACGTTGTCTTTTTTTACAGACCATATTTCTCAGATACGAAATAGAACAAAACAAACTGCTATCCATTATAAATTCACTTAATATTGCGACTTAAAACTTCACCCCATTGCACACGCAAGTGACTATCAGCACTCAGTAGCTAAGTAGATAGCGCGATGGTGTTTTAAGTGAACAGTATTGGGTTCGAGTCCGATAGTGAACATCAACTCTGTTATTCAGGCACATCTAACTGACGAGTCCCAAATAGGACGAAACACGCATCCTTGATCCCACTGCTAACCACTCTCCATCTTTACTTATAATGCAATCCGATATATTCGTTCATTTTGATTACCAGACGAACATCTAGTCGTACACTACAGAAAAGAATGACAAAGAATAGATCAAAACATATTTTTTTTGTCAATGAATACTCATATTTGTTGATCTATTTTATTTATTCACCATAAAGAAAAGGGAACAAAAACATAATAATAATTATTATTATTATTAGTGAGTTTGGGGTAAATGACGATATTGTCTATCTGTCTATCAGTGGTTTGTTTTTATTTTTTCCATGAATCCTAGTTTATTAGTAAAGTGAAGAATATATATATGTATAATGTATACACTTGACCAAAATACTCAAACACACTATCCAATAGATCTATGTAGATATTGTACATATGAAACATTCCTTGTTCAATCATCATCATCATCATCATCATCATCATGTTGTTATTTTCTTTCTAACATTCTTATTGTTTACAAATGATCATTAATAAACAAACGAATATAATTGAATGATAAATAAAGTAAGATAAATAATACACTTAGAGAGATCCAAATGACCATTATTGATCATAGAACATTGTACAAGAAAAGAATGAACAGAATGAGACAGAATGATTGTCATGCGCATGCTTTTATACATACATACATACATCACCACCAATAATAATAACTCGTTTGTTTATAAGATGTTTTGTGTAAAATATTTGTGCAAGTTTAGATTTATAGACTGCTGACATATTAATTGCCAATTACATAATGACTACCATTTGATAACTGTAAATGTACCCTGTAAGACCGAATATATATATATACTTGAAGTCTTGTTATGAATATACACTTGAGAAGAGAAGAGAGAATATTGTATTAAATACACAATCAAATAAATGCATGTCTACCATTTGAGAAATGAATGATAAAAAAAAATAAAACAATGTAATTCAAAAGATAAAATAATAACAATTTGAATGATCACAATGATTGAGGGGGGTGGGTCGGAGAGGGGACCGAGGTGGAAGTTGACAAAAATTACATAGACCTCATCTATTGGTAGAACACCAGTAACAATGAAACATATATCTGTTTTTATATATATAGTGAAGATGACGTTGTCGACAACAACAACTATAAGAACGAAATTATAAAGGAAAGAAATTAGGATTTCCTTAAGAAATAGATGTGGAAGATCATATTGTTCACTTGCATAAGTAAGTATATTACATAAACAAAGTGTGATTGTGATTTAGAAACATTTTCATGATATTTTAGAGAACCAATTATATACTACTCATATTAACTTGTGATTTGAAATTGAATTAAACTATAATTTTCAGTTTCACTATTGTCATTATTATTATTATTATTATTATTGCAATTAATAATATTATTATTCATGGTGGCGTTAGTTATGTGATTATCCAAGTTATTTAATCCAAATACTTGACTCGATGATGCTCCAACACATGGATCACCACGTGCAGGTAAACGTGGAGGTCGACTATTAGATGGTGGTAAAGGTGGTGGAATTGACGAGGCCGATGCGTCTTCACTCATTGAGTCAATAATCATATTTGGACTAATTTTTGCATGACTATAATAACCCGGTGTAGTAGAATTTGAATGCTCAAAATCACGTACAACAAAACTTGTATCTAATTGACTTAAATGACCTTTAGTTAATACAGATGGTATATTAGTAGAATTTTTATCAGGATTAGTAGTAGTATTAGTATGACTAGTACTACTACAACAACCAATTATTGGAAATCGATTATCAAATTGTCCATTTATCCCTAATTGTTGTGAATGATAACTATCTGGTGTTTTTGTATGTTGATAAATTGCATATGGATGTAGTGTATAAGTGGTACCATCAGGTGTACGTGTAAAATTGGATTTTAAAATATGCTTATTACCATTATTATCATTAGTTTTAATCAATTCATTTGAACATAAATAGTTCTGTTTAGTCAATTCGACTATTTTTGAATTTCGCAGTAAGTTTTGATTTTCCCACCGTTTTTGTTTCAATGTTCCAATATTATTTGTTACACATAAACAACAATCATAATTTAAATAAGAACAACAACAACCTTTCACAGTCCACATCCATAAACTACATGTGAATCCAGTGACAAGTGACATAAATATACGTAACATAAATAATTCTGGATTTGGACCATATACTTCATTAATATTCCATAAATATGATGCAAAATTCATTATCTCTGGATGATTTCTTGTCCCATAAATGTTATGATATCGATTATTCATTAATTTACGATTATTATTATTATTCATATTATTATTACTATAATTATTAGTATTCGTATTAGTACTATGATCGTTCAAATGTTGTTTATAATCGGGAATAGTTAACCATTTATCACGATATAAATATTCGTATAAATCACAGGCATTCATGCAAATTAATGGGATTAAATAAAGAAAACAGAATAACCCAATACGAAATTCCATTGGATCACATGATGAAGATGATGACACTGAGGTTGTATAACATAAATGCTGAGGATAATTTTGATGAAAACGTCGAGAAGAATGATTATGGAATTGTGGATGAGACTGATGATCATATGCATGATGATGAGGTTGATGGGTATTATGAGATGTAGGTTGATAATGATGATGATGACGATGATGGTGATGATGAGATCTGTTGACCATAGATCTTGTCAATGTGGGATTACCGTCAATAGGTTGACTATCTATCCTATGATTATAATTTTGTTTTTTATACTGAACAGAATAATGTCGACTTGATTGATTTCCATTAGTATTACACTGTGACCAATAAAAACATTTACATTTACGAAAACATGGTAACAAACACAGGAAACCAATTGTAAACGCAACACCTCCTAAAGTGATTAGAACGGTTTGAGGTCCAAGAATAAATGCACCAAGAACATTAGTATTTTGACGACCTACACCACAAACTGGAATTAATTCATCTGCATCAACCTGTAATAAAAGACAGAAGAGGTGAAAGTCAGGTACTTATACTTTATCAATATATCGGATCAAATTTAAAGTCATAGAACAATGAGTGAAGTTTAAAAAAAGTATTTCCACATTACTAGTTAGCACTATTTGTAATGACATTAAGAATCTAGTATGATATTACACTGTGTTTTCTATTTATTTAGACACTTAAACATTGTTACAAGGAGGCGCCAAATATGCATGTATCACATTTCGTCATTCGATTTGTGTAAGGGCCCAAATCGAAGCAGGCAGTTTTCTTAGGCGGCCACTCTCCGAGCCTTCGACCTAGAGGTTTATTCGGCAAGACAGTGGAGCAACTGTAGAAAATACAGTCTCATGGTGGCCGGTAACTAACAATAGGCTCATATTCTCTTTGCTTCTTCAGGATTCTAGAGCCCATGTGCACCATAGGTTTGGAATCAGGGTATTCCAACTCTCCTAGTTAGATCCCCCATATCCACCTACCCGGTTAAAGCATCGGGCGTTTGCTTTTCGTCCTCTCAACTTAGTAAACAACACCCCCTCCTCGAGAAGGCAGTAAGATGGAACTTTTTGACAGTGTCTGTATAGGCGTGGTTATGTGGAAGCATTTCAAGAGGGCGAGCAAACTCACCCCACCCTTGGCTGTACCAGAACATTTAGTGGCGTAACATTGAGTACTACATACCTTCTACATATTCAGGTTTAATACGATTGTTTCCACTGATAAATTTAATACAAACCAAGAATAACAAACGTATCAGAATTATATATGAATTAATTTTTAATCTCATGATTTCTCATCAGCTGATTTACAGCCTAGAAACAGTACTTAAAAATCAGTCTTAACACATTAATGAACATGAAAAGAATGACTGAGATGAATATGAAAAAGAGAATTGTAATAGTTTTGTAACAATTCTATATGAGAAATTTCTGAATTACATGGCAATAAAGTTTTATAAAAAGGGAATATATATATATTACATAATTTGATAATGGAAATTAAAGTCACCAGATAAGTAGATGATTGACAATTGTATCCCTTTCAATGTGTATATTCAATTCTAATTTTGTTTTTCATTAGTGGCCTTTGTGAAATGTAATAAATTCAAAATTGTTTAAATGTTAATTATTTTGAATGATTTTAAAATATCAACATATTATCCATTATCCAACAGATGACAGTCAATTTAATTATTGAAAGCCGTGTTGACTATTTTATTCTTAATCATTGTGGTATGTACTTCTATTCTTCTAATGTAAATTCTTTGGTACATACACCTAAACTACTGAATACAAAAGAAGGTAATATGAAGTGGGCATTTGTACACTTTTATTTATCTCATAATTATTATTAGAGTGGAGGTTTGTGGAGATTGTAATGATTTTAAATATTAAATTCATTAGTCGATCTAAGCTAGACCACCATTGAAAACCTGGAGGCGCTGGACGGCTGTTTCGTTCTAGTATGGGACTCCTCCGCCGTGACTAATGGAGTCCGACCAGTGTCGGTTATGAGACAGGTATCTACCTCAGATAATGGATGAATGATTGCTCAAGATCATTAGTTGATTGAAGTTATAGACATTAATACCGCTGGATAACGGTTCAGTAGTCTAAAGATTAAGCGTACGCATGCGAGATCGTGGATGCGCATTTCTGAGGTGTTCGGTGTTGAAACAAAACGGCCGTCTAGTGCTTCCAGGTATTCAATGGTGGTCTAGCTTAGACCAACTCATGAATTCAACTATCTCGTAATTACCAACAGTTTTCTACAAAAGTATAGAATAACTAAAGCAAAGGGAATGGAATATACTATCTTTTTACGACTTAGCTTGAACAGTAATGATATAAGTAATATAATTAATTCTCGACTAAATACAACATTGGAAAGCATGTATCCAATTAGTAAACAAATCTCGCTGTATCAATAAAAATATTTGTTACAAATTCAATTTTTCAGCTGTAATAAAAACAAAACAACAACGCTTCATTTATCCTTTTCATTATGAATTCTTTAAAACAATTACAGAAATTTCATTAAAATCATAAACTGATCTAAGTTAAGTCATCATTAAAAGCAACCCAACTCAGTGGTTTATTAATTAACCGTTTACTTGCAAGACCTAAGGTTCTATATTTGATTCCTGAGAACAGATTCATGAATATACACTGCTTAGAAGTCTCATATCAGAATGAAACAACCATCCATTGCTTTCATATTTCAATATAGTGAAAATCAAGAGATGAATGTTGAGAAGTTATTAAGTTCAAAAGCAACAGAAATAAAAAAAAATGGAAGTATGAAAAATCTTAAACTGATGGCCAGGGCAGGGAAAGTGGTTCTACGAATCTCTTTTGAATGCAAAGGTCAGATTTGTGAACATGGATTGCGATGGCTTCTGCAATGTGCAAGAGGCGCACTCGTAAACCATGTGGCAAATTAGATGGGATATTGTAGATAACCTTAAAAGCTTTATTCAATTCGACTTGATGACCTGTGTCAACCAAGTGAGAGAGAATAGAACTTTTAATCAATTTTACCTGTTCTTTGTTTAACCATGACGGATGATGTTCAGTAATGCGATGACGGACTTGCCGAATTGTACGCCCAATATAACTGGCTCCACAGGAGCAGTTGAAACGATAGATACACATATGATTTCATAAATGATACATTTCCTATTTATACACATGAATACTCATTTATTTATCATTTGAAAATAATCATCTCAAGTGTAAATGTATAATATTAGACACTTTTTTCCCCTCAACAACAACAACAACAACAACAATATAAAAGCCTTACATATTTATCTCTAATTTTTTGTTCTTGTTTTAATAAACAATTCATTTGACAATAATAATTCATCCATATTTCCGTTCAATGTTCAATATTCTTAATGAAGAAATATTGAAATATTGAAACAAACAAGATTTTGATTTTTAATGACATTCAATAACTGCATCTTTTTATAGTATTCACCATTAGTAATAATAATAATAATAATAATAATAATAATAATATATGACATGTGTTTCGACCGTGAATAAAATTAGGGAAAACAAAGAGACAAACAGAAAGGGAGCGAGATAGGGGGGAGGCGAGTAAGATAGCCATAGACACAAGGAAATTTGTGTTCTATTTTTAACATTTGTTCATTTAAATGTCAATTTCCGTTTCTATATATATATATATATTTCTTTTATTAAAAAAAATAATATGGGCAAAAAATAATTTTTACTCATTAGGAAATGATAATAATGATTGGTAATATACATGATTATTTGTATCATTGTGTAAAAAAAACTTTATCATTTATGCTTCAATCAACATAAATTCTAAATAGAATTGTTCATTTTTTACTACTATATCCATACATACATATTCACATGCACACATACACACACAACCGTATATATATAGAACTAATCCATGTCGAGTAGAGACAGGTATCTACCTCAGTACAATGGAAGATAGTCGCGCAATTTCGTGGATTGGTTGATGTTAAACACTATCACCATTGGATGCCGGCTCAGTGGTCCAGTAGGTTAAGCGTTCGTGTGTGAGACCGAAGGCCGTGGGTTCGAATCCCGCGAGCGGAGTCGTGGATGCGCACTGTTGAGGAGTCCCACAATAGGAAGAAATGGCCATCCAGTGCTTCCAGGTTTCCAAAGGTGGTGGTCTAACATCAATCGGTTTATGATCTCAATCAGAAACATTTAAGATGGAAAGTATTCAATCAATTAAATGTTTACAAAATCTATGATTGAATGAATATAATTCATTTATAGTTAATATTCACTATGACATTGATATTAGTTGGAGTATTATAGGAAATTACAGAGTATTAAATAGTTACTTCATCATGATATGAGACGCTCCCATTAATTGACATCAACTGAAATGATACTATGAAGAAATTAAATAAATCATTATAAAAATCTTATAAGAATAACTGATTGTCTATCAGTAATCAATTACAGAGTTGAATTTTATCATCTAAGTTTTAGTGTGATCATTAATTTTGAGAGTAAATTCAAGTCTTCAGCTTTATGTTAGGAATGTTGACAAACTATGGAGGAGAGAGAAACAATTTTACTTCCCTTGATAAATCAATTTATACATACAAACCTCTAGTAAAGTATGAAGATATTTCCATTATGTACATCACTTATGTTGTTACAAATAAAAAGTGTTTAGAAATGTAACTTCAAAATAACGTGATAGAAATGGAGTATACAAGTAATTTTATGGTACACCCTTTCTCTCTCTTTATATATTATTCCATTCAGATTTTGCTCTTATTAAATGAATAAACAGACTGATCTTAGCAAAACTTTTTAGAGTGAACATTAAAACAGTGAAAACTTGGAATCACTGAACAATACCGCTGAGAAGCCTCATGAAATGATGAAAAAATTGTATAGTGCTTCCTGATTTACAAAAAGTATTTAACTAACATCAGTTTATGATGTAAACTAAGAAAAAACCAACAATCTCAATAGCCCTCTCCCCTCAGTTATATCCTTTTTTGAGGTTTATGTTTACGACCCTTTTAGTTTGCCTTGCAATTATTACATGACGACTCACTTTGTAAATTTTTATGTGTACATATATCTATATTCAAACATGAAAAACCTTTATTATCGATACCATTTATCGATTGAAATCAATTACATTTTATTATGACATATATACATATGTGCTCGATATTCAATCTCAGTGGTACGACACACAACCATAGAGATACAATATTTTGTTTGAACCGACCCATTATGATAGTGTGGTAAGTTTAAGCTTTGATTTATGAATAGTTTTAAGGTCGTGATTATCTTCAATAAGTAAGTTGTATCTAGCACTTCTAGATGGTTTTTTTCCATTAATTCAGTGGAAAACTGCTTGATATTAAAGTATAATTTTCATTTAAGATTTCATTCTAAAAACTGTTATTGTTATCAGAATGGGCTTTTGTGGATATTACAGTAATTTT